AGCACAACAGATTATGTATGTGTTAAAGTTATTTATTATACATGTTTTATTATAATATATAAGTTGCGATGAAATGAATTATGATTATTAAATATTGAATGGTTTCTTAATGGATTATTTTCAGTCACTTGATAATCAGGAAGCTATGGTAATAACTTTATCGGGATTATTATCTTTAATGATAACGTTATCATTAATACTTTCATTTTCATTATCGTTTGAATAGACGTCAACAGAAGATATTGAAATTGATGACTCCTGACTATCCTTGGTGTGGACTTCAGGCACCGTTGTCGAAATCGACGGCACTGATATAATATCCTCAAGGATTTCCTCTTTCTTAATTTCTATCATATCCTCTTCCAATTCTTCGTTTTCTTTATGTGAATCCGTTATCAATAATGTCCCTTGGTCTTTGTCTTCCGATGGGGATAATGAAACTCGAGAAATAATTTCGTAATCATTATCGTTATCCTCTTTAATGTTTTCCATATCTAATCTATGAGCGTTACCTTCTGTGTTCAGTTCTTGAGTATCAAGTGCATTATTTATTTCGTGTGTACCATTCATCGTGTTCAATTCTTCATCAATATTCTCGGTGCTTGGTTCGTTGACATCATCTCCCGGGTGTAATCCATTGACATCACAACCTTCCGGGTTCAGTTTACCAACATCACTTCCCGTGTTGAATTCTTTGTCATCATCTTCCGGGTTCAGTTCGTTAGCATCATTTCCCATGTTCAACTCTTTATCTCTGTCTTCCACTTTCAATTCGTTAACATTTTCCGTGTTAAATTCTTTACTATCATCCTCTGGGTTCAGTTTGTTAACATTGTTTTCCATGTTCAATTCTTTATCATCGTTTCCCACCTTTGGTTCGTTAACATCATTTCCCATGTTCAATTTTTTGGCATCATCCTCTGGGTACAGTTCGTTAACATCATTTTCTGTGTTCAATTTTATGCCATCATCTTCTGGGCTCAGTTTATTAACACCATTTTCCGTGTTCAATTTTTTAGCATCATCCTCTGGGTACAGTTCGTTAACATCATTTTCTGTGTTCAATTTTATGCCATCATCCTCTGGGCTCAGTTCGTTAACACCATTTTCCGTGTTCAATTTTTTGCCATCATCCTCTGAGTACAGTTCGTTAGCATCATTTTCCGTGTTCAATTTTATGCCATCATCCTCTGGGTACAGTTCGTTAACATCATTTTCCGTGTTCAATTTTTTGCTATCATCCTCTGGGTTCAGTTCGTTAACATCATTTTCCGTGTTCAATTTTTTGCCATCATTATCTGGGTTTAGTTCGTTAACATCATTTTCCGTGTTCAATTTTTTGCCATCATCCTCTGGGTATAGTTCGTTAACATCATTTTCCGTGTTCAATTTTATGCCATCATCCTCTGGGCTCAGTTCGTTAACATCGTTTTCCGTGTTCAATTTTTTGCTATCATTCTCTAGGTTCAGTTCGTTAACATCATTTTCCGTGTTCAATTCTTTATCACCATCTTGCGCATGCAGTTTTTTACCCACCTCCGACTCCAGTTCTTTAAGGTTGTCCTCCGTATCCTGTTGATTTCCAATGCCTCCCATACCCAGTCCTTTGGCATTATCGCCGGCACTCAGTTTGTCAGCATCATCTCTTGTATCCAGTTCATTATCATTATTTTTCTTATTCAGTTCGTCATCATCATTTCTCTTATCCAGCTCATCATCATTATCTCGTTCAAATGGGTCATTATCATTATCTATCTCACCACCCAACCCAATATCAGGACCTCCCATACTCAATTCGTTATCACTACCTCCTCTACCCAGCTCATTAGCGTTATTTCTCGTATCAAGTTCGCTCACCTTTTTGACTGGTTCGCATTCCTCGGTCTTCTCAACTTTCCCATATTTCAACTAGAAAACGACACAAAAATTAATGACAATAACCAATGCAGTTTTCCCTGGGAAACTCGAAATTATTAAACAAACCTCATTTATTTCCTTTTCAAGTTTCTGTCTCATTGTTTCATAATCGTCCAATTTGTATAAACATTGATGAAAAAAATTGGTAAT